ACAGCCAGGGCAATGTAGAGAGACCCTGTTTCAAAAAAAAACCAAACAAGGACTGGAGAGATGGCTCATAGCTTAAGAACACTGCCTGCTTTTCCAAAGGTCCTGAGTTCAATTCCCAGCAACCATATGGTGGCTCACAACCATCTGTAATGATATCTGGTGCCCTCTTCTGGTCTGCAGGCATATATGTAGGCAGAACAGTGTATACATAATAAATTAAGCTTTAAAAAACAAACAAAATAAAAGCTGGAGAGATGGCGTAGCAGTTAAGAGCACTTAACTGTTTTTCCTTCCAGAGGAGCTGTCTATAGCTCCTGCTCCAGGGAGTTCAATGCCTCTGGCTTCATTGGGTTCCTGCACTCACATGCACATACTCACAAAAAGTAAAATAAATCTTTAAAAAAGACAAACATAATCAGTGGCTCTGTATTAGACTAAGAGGAGGGCAGGTTAAGGAAAGTTCCCTAAAGGCCAAAGGTGACTTGAAGGGTGAGTGGGGTCAGCTCAGTGATAAGGCATGAGCACACTGCAGCTGTTTGGGTTAAGTGCAGAGTTTGAGTGGAAAGCTGGCAAGGTTGTGCCACAGTTGCCTGCGCCCATGCTGCTTTATGGGCAGGTCTCACCTGGATGGATTTGCTGGACAGCAGGTTCAGTGAGGTCTCTCTTTCCTCCTAGCTGTTCCTTCATAGCGTTTTTGGCTACCGAGGGGTCGTCCTGTTTCCCTGGCAGGCCAGACTGTATGACCGGGATGTGGCTTCTTCGGCTCCAGAAAAGTAAGTTTCCCCATCATGTCTTAGGGTGTTCTTGGGTGGCATGACTTGTGGTAGACAAACTCAGCTGGGGCCTCAGGTGAAAACAGCATCCTCTTGGGCTTTAGAAACAATCCCAACCATGGCCGGGTGGTGGTGGCACATGCCTTTAATCCCAGCACTCGGGCAGCAAAGGCAGGTGGATCTCCAAGTTTCAGGCCAGCCTGGTCTACATAGTGAGTTCCAGGACAGCCAGGGCAACACAGAAACCCTGTCTCAAAAAAACCTAACAAAACAACAAACCCAAATAGGCATGGTAGTGCACACTTTTAGTCCTAGCACTCAGGAGACAGAGGCAGGAGGATCTCTGTGAGTTCAAGGCCAGCGTAGTCTACGTAGAGAGTTCCAGAACAGCCAGGGCAATGTAGAGAGACCCTGTTTCAAAAAAAAACCAAACAAGGACTGGAGAGATGGCTCATAGCTTAAGAACACTGCCTGCTTTTCCAAAGGTCCTGAGTTCAATTCCCAGCAACCATATGGTGGTTCACAACCATCTGTAATGATATCTGGTGCCCTCTTCTGGTCTGCAGGCATACATGTAGGCAGAACACTGTATACATAATAAATTAAGCTTTAATAAACAAACAAACAAAATAAAAGAAATAATCCCAGAGTATTTCTCTGGCACTCATACCCATGGAGACAAAAGTACTTAATACTAAGTATATTGGATCTCTTTCAGCTCCCAAAATTGACTCCTACTTCTCTTCCTTTTATTATTTTGTTTATATTTGGTTTTTGAGAAATGGTTTCTTGTGTAGCCTTGGCTATCCTGGAACTTTCTCTATAGATCAGGCTGGCCTCGAATTCACAGAGATCTGTCTGTCTCTACCTCCTAAGTGCTAGGATTAAAGACGTGTGCCACCACTGCCTGGCAAGATTTTATTTTATTTATTTAGTTATTTTTGTTTCTTGGGACAGGGTTTCTCTGTGTAACAGCCCTGGCTGACCTGGAACTCACTCTGTAGACCAGGCTGGTCTCGAACTCACAGAGATCCCCCTGCCTCTGCCTCCCAAGTGCTAGGATTAAAGGCAAGCACCATCACCACCCGGCGTGCTTTTTTTTTTTTTTTTAAATTATTTATTTATTATGTATACAGTATTCTGTCTGCCTGTATGCCTGCAGGCCAGAAGAGGGCACCAGATCTCATTACAGATGGTTGTGAGCCACCGTATGGTTGCTGGGATTTGACCTCAGGACCTCTGGAAGAGCAGCCAGTGCTCTTAACCTCTGAGCCATCTCCCCAGCTCCCGGCGTGTTTTTTTTTTGGGGGGGGGTTCAAGACAGGGGTTCTCTGTGGCTTTGGAGACTGTCCTGGAACTAGCTCTTGTAGCGCAGGCTGGTGTCAAAATCACAAAGATCCACCTGCTTCTGCCTCCCAAGTGCTGGGATTAAAGGTGTGTGCCACCACACCCCAGTATGCTCCAGCTTAATTTGTTTGTTTTGTTTTTAAGATTTCATGTGTATATACTGTATATGTGTGTTCTGCCTGCATGCATGTCTGTGTACCACATTCATCATGCAGTGCTCCTGGAGGCCAGACGAGGGTGTAGGATCCTTTGGAACTGGAGTTACAGACAGTGTGAACTTCATGTGGGTGCTGGAAACCAAGCCTTGGTTCTCTGGAAGAGCAGCCAGTGCTCTCACCCACTGAGCCCCTCTTGATGGTTCTTGATGTCCACTTAGAGTCTTTCCGTTAATGTCACATCATCGCTGGAGTACATTACAAGAAGGAAGCTCCACTGAATGATCACAGACAACCTTGGGGTGGGAGAAGCACCAGGTCCTTGTGCCCTTGGGGACTCAGGTAGCAGCTGGACTCTGTTGTCATGACCCTCATCTAGGAGGTTCCTAGAGAGTGGTAACTGCATGGGCCCTGCAGTCTCCATTGTTTACCCTCACTGGGGAGAGGCTAGTTGGAGGTAGTGTTGAGCAGGTGCCAACCTGTGCCAAGGCCCCTTCAGATCACAAACCAGCCCATTTTGGAGAGGAGGTAGTAGTTAGCTGAGCAGGGTACAGCTTCCACTTCTCAGGGGTGATCTGGGCTGCCTCTCCTACCCACAGAGCAGAGAACCCTGCTGGCCACGGCTCTAAGGAGGTGAAAGGCAAAACTCACACTTACTATCAGGTGCTGATTGATGCCCGCGACTGCCCACATATAGTAAGTAAGCAAAGTGCCTGGGCCTGGGGTCCTCTCCATGGGAAAGATTTTCACTCATTTAGGGACAGAGAGGGGTCAGAGAAAACTCAGGTTAGCCCTGGACCTCAAGGCCTTTGGACTGGGTAGTAGCCAAGAAACCTTTGAATCACCTTCTGCTTTAGTCTCAGAGATCTCAGACAGAAGCTGTGACCTTCTTGGCTAACCATGATGACAGCCGGGCTCTCTATGCCATCCCAGGTGAGGAGTTAGCATCCAGATGGTTCCTGAGGAGCAGGGGTCTGGTGTGTCCCAGGGAGAGGAATCTGATGTCCTGTCATCTGCTGGGAGGGAACAGGGTACTTAGAGCTGTGGTGCCAGGGTCGCCTACCTTGGGCAAGGCCAGAAGGTATTTCCTCTCCGTCTCATTCCTCTGCTCTGTGAGTCTTACTAGCTCTGCCTCCCTCTGCCAGGCTTGGACTATGTCAGCCATGAAGACATCCTCCCCTACACTTCCACGGATCAGGTTCCCATCCAACATGAGCTCTTTGAAAGATTTCTTCTCTATGACCAGACAAAAGGTAATCTTTCAGGAAGGGAGGTAGGAAGAGGAAGGCCCTTTCTTTGAGCAGAGTATCAGAAGTAACTGGCAGCTAGATCTAGTCCCATAGCCCTTCTCAATTTCCCCTTATTTGGTGTGGTTGATGTCTACCGTAGCCTTATACCAGTAGGAACAGAGGCTGGGAAGCAATTACAATGGCTAGGTAGTAACAACTAGAGGTTTGAAAACCAGGACTCTTAACTCCCAGTCCTTTTCCAGGGCACCATGCCTCTTAGTACTTAATCTCAGTAGCAGCTCTGTACCTTATTCCATCCTTGCTTTTGCTGTATGTGTAGTCTCATTCCCTTGGGCATAACTGGGAAGGGGTTTCTGGGAGGGACAGTTGGAGAATAGGTGCTGTGCACAGGACTCTGGTCTGCACTAATGTGTTGTCCTTCTAGCACCTCCTTTTGTGGCTCGAGAAACACTACGAGCCTGGCAGGAAAAGAATCACCCCTGGCTAGAGCTCTCTGATGTCCACCGGGAAACAACTGAGAACATCCGTGTCACAGTCATCCCTTTCTATATGGGCATGAGGGTATGTGCTAGCCTGGGCTTCTTCCTGCAAGACTAGGCCCCAGATTCTGTGTGGTATCCCTGATACGAGTGTTGGGATGGGGTGGGAGTATATCTAATCCTAAACCCTACCCTGTGGGGTTGAGTAGCCTCTTGATAATGGCCAGCACCATGACTTAGAACAGGAAACCCACAGATCAGGAAGTAATCCTCCATGCCTTCCTTCTGGTAGAGACTCCTTGCGAAAAATATATACATATACTTGCCTAAATCAGTGTGGACTGATTATCACATTTTGTGATTAGTAGCCAAATATTTATTGATCTGTGTCTTGCCTCACTCCAGGCTAGGCCTCCAGATTCAAGTATAAATGGAAGACTTCTTGCCTGTTAGGACTCAGTCATAGGGAATGTCAGCATCTATCAAGCATGGTCATCAGAGGGCTGTAAGGAGAATGACAGGGGCCCATGTGGCAGTGATGGGGTCAGGGCTGGCAGGGAGGCTGGTGAGAACAGAGCGCTGTAATGGATTTCTGTTGGCATCCAGCTCTGTTGGTTTTAACAGGATTGGAGAGGGGGCGGAGCAGGAAGGATGCGGGAGGCTGCTGGCCATAGTTGTATCACATTCATCATTGGCTCCCAGACATTCACAGCTTGATCAGTCTCTGCTGCGTTCCAGGAATACTTCATTTGAGATGTGTTGGTTGGAACAGATTTAGTCTCATCCTCAACCCTTTTCCCCCTCCAGGAAGCCCAGAATTCCCACGTCTATTGGGTGAGTGTTTCCCTTGGTGGGAGCTCAGCAAGAGCCTGGGGGAGGTGTGGAGACAGTGTGCACCTCGTGGCCAGGGTGGATGCAGCCATCCAGCACTGTAAAATATAGATGTCAACTTTGTTGCTGTTTACTCTCTAGAATTCTGGTTGGGCTGGCCCGAGAGTTATTCTTCCTCAAACATGATCTCTTTTCCTCACAGTGGCGCTACTGTATACGCTTGGAGAACCTGGACAGTGATGTGGTACAGCTTCGGGAAAGGCACTGGCGGATATTCAGTCTCTCAGGCACCTTGGAGACAGTTCGAGGACGAGGAGTGGTGGGCAGGGTGAGCATAAGGGGGCCACTGGCCTAGTGCTGGTCCTGCTAGCAGGCCTAGGAACTTTGGGTGTGTTTTCTTCCTCTCTGGTCCTGCTAGCAGGTCTAGGAACTTTGGGTATGTTTTCTTCCTCTCTGGTTGTGGACAAAGTGACACACTGGGTTGTCTGTCACTAGAAATCTTACAACAGCCCTGCGGGGTAGCTTGTCTGTAACCTGTTTCACAGATGAAGAGTGAGACTTAGAAGCTAATTAATAAGGGATAGGGGAAGTAGCTCTTGGTAGAGTGCCTGCCTGGCATCATGGATTTGACCCTAGCACTGCATAGACTAGGCATGGTTTTATGTAACCATATTCTTAGACTTGGGAAGTTTAGGGTCATCCTTGACTGCCTGGGATACACAAATTCCTGTCTTGAAACACATACCTCTGGAAACCTGGCCCTCTCCAAGAGCAGCAAGCTCTTTCCAGTCCCAAAGCTTAGTACTCACTGTTGAGCAGCATGTCTCATTAGTCTTTCCACTGTACTCCAACACTTGAGGTCAAACTCAGGCTTTGTGCATGTTAGGCAAACACTCTGCTTATATCATACTCAGATGGCATGTCTTTTAAAACCCTGAATTTGTGGGAAATAGAGTCAGAAAGATCAGAATTTAAGGCTATATTTGGGCTACATAGAAAGTGTGAAGCCAGCAGGGGTTACATGAGACCCTGTTAGAAAAATAAAATATGGGCTGATAAGATGGCTCAGTAAGTAAAGGTGCTTGATGCCAAGCCTGCTGACCTGAGTTTGAACCCTGGAACTCACATGGTGGAAGGTGTGTACTGACTCCCTCAAAGTATCTTCTGACTTCCACATATAAGACACACACACACAATTAAACACCTTCCCTCAATAACAAACAAAAGAAGCACTTTCTGATTTTGGGACATGTACCAACTGTGTCATGTCTCTTTTTGTATTCATCCATTCATCTAGTGTTTCTTTCTTCTCTGTGGCTTTGGAGGCTGTCCTGAAACTGGCTCTTGTAGACCAGACTGGTCTTGAACTCACAGAGATCCTCCTGCCTCTGCCTCCCAAGTGCTGGAATTAAAGGCGTGCGCCACCAACGCCCAGCCCATCTAGTGTTTCTTAAAGAGATTTGATTTTATGTTCCCTGTCTATCCTACCCTGTCTCTTGAGATATTAAGTCACAAATGGTACTAGTGTCATCCAGCACCACTGTTAGAAGACACTTGGGAAAATGGGGTCAAAGAAAACAATGTAAACAGGGTTGGACTGTATGTGGCACACATCTGTAGTCTAGTACCCTGGGAGTTGAGGCAGGGTTATGGTGAGTTTGAGGCCAAGTTGGGCTACATGGTACATCTTTGAAAAACAAATTCCAGCTATATACAATATAACTTTGAGGCAATTTTTTTTTTTTTTTTTTTTTTTTTTTTTTTTTTTTTTTTTTTACCAGTTTCTCTGTGTAGCCCTGGCTATTCTGGAACTTACTTTGATCCATCTGCCTCTGCCTTCCTAGTGCTGGGATCAAAAGTGTGTGCCCCCACGCCTGGCTTGGGCAAATTATATAATCCACATCTGTTTCTTGTTGCTAAAGTAGGGATTACATGTAGTACTTCATGGTCACCAAGAGAATAAACTCAGCAGGCAGAAGCCCTGCTGTTGTGCCTGGCACTTGTTCATGTGAGTGAATGCAGGGAGAGATGTTTTCAGAGAAAGCCTGCCTAGCACCTTCCCTCAGTACCCCCCAAACCCCCACCCCCAGTTTGTTTTTCCTAGAGAGGCTCAGGGCACCGCCCACCCTGTGAGAGGAGTACTGAAAGATGGTCATTGTAGGTGTGTGTGTGTGGCTGTATAGGTGGGAGGAGTCATCCAGTCAGTATCTGACAGCCCCAGGATGGAAGGAATGTATTTCTGGGCCTTGGCTTGACCAATTTTGCCTGAATTCTTTTAGGAACCAGTGTTATCCAAGGAGCAGCCTGCATTTCAGTATAGCAGCCATGTCTCCCTGCAAGCTTCCAGTGGGCACATGTGGTGAGTGAGTGTATGCTGGAGTATATTCTGCTCAACTCCACAGACAGCTGCTAGTGAGAACTGGGGAGACTGCACTTGGGAGACTGAGGCAGGTTTATGAGACCCTATTTCCATTCATGCCAACAATAACAAAGTGAGGACCCTGAGCAAGCTAAGCTTAGGGTCAGTTTACAAGAGTGAGGTCCTGAGATGGGCACACTGAATAACACAGGTGTTATTCATTGCTGTGGGACTATCTGGTTTTTATGACTATGAGTTCCTTACAATTTGTGGGCTAAGGAATTAGATCCCAAGACTTGGGACTGTACTGAATTGCTCATGTAGTTGGGTTTCCCCCTTAATCTCGAGTAAGGTGGTTTGCTCATACAGCACGTATCCAAGTGGCAGAATCTGAATAGTTGTGCTTCTGCGCATGGCCACATTGGGCTCTTGGATCTTTGTTTATTCTGCCATGAACTAGGCAGATGACAAGGCCACCTTCCTCGGGCGCTGTGGCTCTGGATCAGAGGACATGGGTGCACACAGATCAAGAGGGCTTTCAGTGCAGCCCTTTCTCCTTTTAAAGTGGCTTCTCTGATCCTTAGGGGCACATTTCGTTTTGAGAGACCCGATGGCTCCCACTTTGATGTCCGGATCCCACCATTCTCCTTGGAAAGCAATAAAGATGAGAAGACACCACCCTCAGGCCTTCACTGGTAGGCCAGCTGAGGTCCTTGAGTGCCCAGGTTGGGCTCCTCAGAACAGCTCTTAACCCATAATTGCTGCAGAACTCTAAGTCTCTCCCTATTATGGGCTTCTTAATTTTGGGATTCTTTGTTTGGAGGGAGATTGTAACTTTTCTTGGAAGACTCACCTAAGACTCCTCCAAGGTCAGCCCCGCCCGGCCCTGCCTACACCACGTTCCAACAAAGCTGTCAGGGAACTGTGTTCAGTTGTCACGGGTTGTCTGGAATGTGAGCCATGGTCAATAAACCAGTGCTCACTTGGCCATGCTGGCCCTAGGGTCTCAGGCTCCCTTGTTGACCCTGTGGGAACTCTTGGCTGTTTTCCTGCAAAGTCTCTTCTAGGAAGCTGCTGCCTCTGTCTGCTAGGGTGTGTCTTCCTCAGAGACTGGACATCTCCAGGGTACACTGGCTAACAGTGGGCTGTGCTGCACTGGACTAAGTTCTCAAGTCTCTTCGTTACCTTCCGCCCAGTATAGAGGAGGCCAGGAGGCCAGCATTTTGGGTTCGAGTGCCCCTGACTGTAAACACTGATTAGCCACCAGCATCTCTGGCTTCACTAGGCCTGGAGAAGAGTGAGGCAAAACCAGTCAGGTTTCCCGGAGCTGTGAGCTTCTGAGCATTGAGCAAAAGTCTGTCAGACACCCAAACCACAAGTGCAGGAATTCAGCCAAGAAGCAGCTTAAGTTATGGACAGTGACCAAGCCTAGCCGCTTTCCCAGCTTCTGTCAGATCAACAGGAGGCAGAATTGGGCTGCATTTTGTCCCAGTTCTCAGGGTTCCTTCACCACTTGTCACTGTTAGAGGTCCTTTCATTCTTGCATTATTAAATCTCAGTTCCAGTCCTTGTGAGTATTGTTGTTAATCTTCCGCCTGGGGGAGTGTGGGTGTGTAGGAAAACAAAGGAATGAGTCTTCTGACCTTCTAGAATACAGGTCATGGAGGGAACAGAATAAGAACTGAGCCCACAGCTGTGAGCTGGCCAGGCTCTACTCACTAGAAACATGGCTCAGCTCCATGGCAGTGTAACACAATTTTATTAGAAGTTAGTGTTTACTTCTATTGCTTAAGGGAAGCAACCAAGGATTGCAGGTATGCAGTAAAAGACACAGTCTTTCATGCCAGAACCTGTGCTACCCTTTAGGTAGACCAGTCACATCAATCCCAGGTTCAACAGAGCCTGTAGATTCATCCTGCCAAGAGCTACTGTAGGAATAGGACTGGAAAACCCACAAATCCCTAAGCCATACAGTCCAAGCAAAAACGCTCAGATCATTTCAGTTAGTGTTTTCCTTAAACCAAGGAGATGTTTTCAGTCAAAGATGATGAATACCCAGCCCTGGACTCTTGCTGCTGTGCAGGCCCAAGGACTAGACACCACTGATACGGGTGTCAGAGCACCAAGTAGAGAGGCTAAAGGGGATATGGAGGTCAAGGAACAAACTGGAAATATGTAGCATGGAGCTGGGACTCTGAATACTAAAGGGCTTCTTGGGGACAGCTGAGAAAATAGACCAGTGGCCTCATACAACAACATTCCAAAGTTTGTGGGAAAGCCTCAAAGCTAAAGCCTAAATTTGGTCAAAAAAATGGATTGTCATCTCACTTCCAGTGAGTTCTGGAAGAACTAGTAGCTGCTGATCACCAAGGTGCTTGACCTGAGCATCTCAGAGCTGTTTATACATTCAAGACTGTGATTAACACCAAATGATTACTAAGTCACGTTTCCCTTGCTCTATCATGTCATGTCAGGGCCTTGTGAGAGCCCAACCCTAACCCTGGCATCTGCCTATAGGCTCTGAGACGTGAGCTATGTGCAGCCGTTTGGCAGTTATGAGAGTGGTCAAGGGATGAAGCTGACATTCTGTGTTCTGTCCTGAGCACTGTTGATGGCCACACACTTTGTCAGGCTTGCAAACAGCTTCCTCCAGTGACAACATTCCTCTGGAAAGAATCCAGTTAGGAGGGCCAGGACCAGCAAGAAGGGGAGGAAAACCAAAGCCCAGAGGAATAATTCACATCCAGTCTAGACCTTGGTACCTCCATGGTCAAGTGACCCAAAAGAAATAGAGGCCTTTCAAAAGGCTTAAGTTGCCCTGGTTACTATGTATTTGGAGACTCGTCACTAAACAGAACCACTACCTAGAGCCAAACCATAAACCAAGACATGATGTCAGGAGCTGGGCAAAAGTATGGCGAAGCCTGGGCCACATCTGTGGGCATTCCTGGCAGCATGTGGCTATAAGAATGTGCCTTCTGCTGCAGCTGTGTTTCTGGCCTGCATCACAGCCTCTGGCTTTATGGTCTGTGGGGACAGCATGTCTTAGAGCTGAGCATACCCAAGTATGAGACCCAAACCAAACTATTGTGTTAGGTCTGGGTCAGTGATATGACCCTACAGGGGGTGAGATATCTTTTCCCATAGGGTGCTATTAAAATCATGGGCTCTACTTGGGTATCCTTCCCCTCCTGGTGTTCTTTGGGCTGCCCAGTCAGGTTGACAAAGCCAAAGCTAGTCAGTTTGCTTTTTTCTTGAGACAGTGTCTTCCAGGCTAGCCTAGAATTTTAACTACATAGCACAGACTGGTCTCAAACGTATGATCCTCCTGCCTCAGCCTGTGAGTGCTGGCATTATAGCATGTGCCAGACTCCTGAATGACAGACATACAAAGTGCTTTAAAGATGGGTTCTAGGGCATTTAAAGGGGTAGTGTGTGTGTGTGGGGGGGGGGGAGGAGTCTGCCTAGGTGGGGTCCTGGCATCCTGCAGGGTAACAAATGCTTAGTTCTAGGTTCTCCCTCATCAGGCTAGAAAATAGTCATTTCCTAGATACTTTGTGTGTGTGGCAGTACTGGGGATTGAACCCAGGACCTCACTCATACTAGGTAAGTATTCTACCACTAAGCTATGCCACTAGCCCTCTTTTTAAAACTTTGTATTGAGACAGTATCTTGCCAAGTTGTCCAGGCTAGTCTATAACTTGTTTTCCTGCCTCGGCTTCTCCGTAGCTGGGATTATAGGCAAGGCCACCATGCTAACTTCTAGATTTAAGAACAAAAAAAAAAATCAGGTCATACCTATGCTTAAACACCTTAAGAAAAAAAGAAGGCTGCTCTTTCTGTTCAAAATTGGATCCTTGCAGCACCAGGAGCCTCCTTTCCCATAGGACAGAACTGTTCCCATGGGCCTCAGCTGAGGAACTGAAGGAGCTCTTCAGCAGAGAGAAGGGCACTAAGCCAAGGGCCTGGGGAATGTTCTCCACAGGAGGTGGAAGTCAGTGCACTCACCCTAAAGTAGCTCCCTGCCAGGCAGGAAGTGGGGTGGCATCTGGAAGTGATGGGGGGAGCAGGACCAGGTAGGGCAGTGTGACCTTTCCTCTGCCGGGCTCCTTGACCTCCCAAGCAGGGCCCAGCACCACTATATGCTAGAGCAGGCTCCCAGCTCGCAGGAGCAGCATAGGATGGCCAGTGGGCTATGTTCCACAGGATAGCAGACATGGCTTCTTGTGCTCTGACTTCCTAAGGGTCTCATTAGTCTCGATGAGCAGACTGGTGGCCAAGTTGCCGGTCATCGTAAGTGCTATAGCGCTTGACGTGAATGCGGCGGACACGGTCCCGCAGTTCAAAGGCATCCTCATCTTCACTGGGGGAAGCTTGGCTGCGGCTCCGGCTTGTGGCCTCCAGCAAGGAATTGTCAGGGACTCGAGGGGTCTCATAGAGTAGGACGTTGAGTGTCTCCTCATATATTCGGGCCTCTGGGAATTCCACCTGGGAAGAAGGGAACAAGATGGAGTGAGGTCTCATTTCATGAGGAAACATTAGGGCTCTGAACCTTGTCTCTTCCATGAAGCCTCCTAACTTAGAAGTCAGGTAGCTGCCTGGCTAACAAGGGAAGCATCAGGGGACATGAGAATATAGATAAACGCAACCCTGCATCCCCACCCCAATCCACAACTAAAGACTATCATCATGGGTACGTACAGGTACAAACAACTCTGTGGACAAGATGCTATGTCTTGGGCCTGAGCTTTCTGGGCTGCAGTTTCTATGTGTGTAAAGTGATGTCAATTGCTACTTTCTTTGCTTTTGTTTTGAGACAGGGTCTCCTTATGTCCCAAGCTGCCCCAGATTCAGAATCTTCCTACCTCAGCCTTCTGAGCACTGTGATCCCAGGCATGCCTGCCAAGCTGAGCTAACACCTCTTGAGATTTGTCAACATTAAAAGAAAGACGTACATTCTTTAGCCCAGTGAATAGCCTGACACAGTAAACAACCAAATACATAATAAAAAGCAGCTGCTGCCAGGCGGTGGTGGTGCACACCTTTAATGCCAGCATTCAGGAGGCAGAGATAGGTGGATCTCTGTGAGTTCGAGACCAGCCTGGTCTACAAGAGCTAGTCCCAGGACAGCCTCCAAAACCACAGAGAAACCCTGCCTCAAAAAACCAAAAAAAAAAAAAAAAGCTGCTTAGCCAGGCTGAGTGGTACCTACCCATCTGTAATCCCTGCCACCTGAGGCAGGAGGATGGAGACTTTGAAGCCAGCCAGCCCACCTGGTGAAATCCATTTCAAAAAAGGGGTGGGGGAACAGAGAGGATAGTTCAGCTGATTAAGGTGCTTGCTACCAATCCTGCCAACTTGAGTTTGATCCCAGGACCTGAATGGTGGAACCCAAATGGAGAGAACTCTCTGGGCTGTCCTGTCATCACCCACCCACACAAATAAATGAAGTAATTCTAACAAACAGTTCCACTGCTTCTCTGACCCAGAAAGCCCCACCCCTAGGGTCAATGTTGAGGGAAGAGATCAGGACCCCAAAACTGTAGCACATCTGTCACACTGAGCTGCTGTGCCTTCATCTCAAGTGGAGAGAAGGTTCTAGCTGGGCAAGTCTTCTAGCTGGGGTGTGGAGGGTTAGGGGAGCACACAGAAGAAGGAAGAGAGCACCAAGGAAGAAGACTGGCACTGCTACCTCTGCTGTTACTCAGGTCCTGAATCCTGACTCCACTTTCACAGCCTCTTGGCTAACTCCATGCCATCTTTGTCTCTACCCCCCACTGCCAAGAACTGCCACCTCATATAAGCTGTCCTTTGGACAGCCCTCAGCAGATCACTCAGCCTGAGGCAATGTGGCAGTCTGGGGCTAAGGCTCTTGGGTCTGGATGCTTGCGCCCTTTATTCCCCCTTTTTACCCAGTAAAACCCTGCCATCTCCAAGTATATATTCTAGGGAGGATACCTGCTGGTCTCTTCAGGAAGGGAGGAGATGAATCTACATAAATTGTCCCCTACCAAGTAATTCACACAGCTGATTATAGTTAACTATATCTGTAACCCTAGTCCTAGTGGGCTGAGGCAGGAGGAATGCCAGGTGTTTGTGGCTAACCTAGGTTATATAGCAAGCTCCAGCCTGGGCTTCTGTGACCCTGTTTCAAAAAGAAAAAGTAAAAATAAAAGTTGCCCTGTGCTCATCTGGCACATCTGGCTCATCTGTGATGTCATTCCATGGGCTCAGGAAGCCAGCTGGCCAGCCTGGCTGTAAGAGCAGTGTTGAAGTGGAAAGCTACACACCGTGCTGCTTTGGTACCCTTGCCATGTACTGGCTAGACTCAGACTCATTCCCATATCTTCAAGCAGGGAAACAGACCAATGGCTCCCCAAAGTCAGACAACTAGAAGTGGTGGGACTAGAACTGCAACCTGAGTTGTGACAACTTCAAAGACCTGGTCCTTCCATGGCACCAGAAGGTTGCTGGTCAGTGGGCTTCTTTTTCAGCAACTGTTAACAGCTTCTGACCATTCCCAAACCCCTTTGTTCTGACTCTGTCCTACCTGGCACCATCATACCATGGTTTGGAAAGTACACGTGGCCCTTTCGTTACTGTGGGAAGGGCGCATTGGAGCAATACCAGTCGTCAACCCTGGAGTCTGTGTGATCTGTCCCCTATCAGAGGAAAGATCATACCTTTGTCTGCTTCTTCTCTGTGGCATACACGATGGAGGTGCAGCACACCTCTGCCAGCTTGCGACCCTGGCCATAGAAAGACCAGCAGCAGATTTCATCACCAATGACATCCTTGATGAAGAGCACACGGCCATTGAATCGCAGGGACAGCTTGTCAAACAGCTCAATGTTTTTCAGCAGGTGATCATCAGAGTTGCTGAAAAAACCAAAGGGCCAGCAGGCCTGGAATGAGGTTCCAACAAGCAGGGCTGCCGGGACATTCTGGTTCTCCACGCTGCTCTGCCCACCCCTACCCTATCATGCTAAAGTGAAGACAAGGCAGAGGGACAGAGAGGCAGAAAGGAACCTGTAGGACTTGGGGCTTGTGAGGAAAGGGGGTGGAACTGGCTCTCGGTTCAGCAGAGAGCACTGAGAGAAAGAAGTAACCCCTCATAAGCGTGGAAGGAAGGGCCCCTCTCTGTTACTTCAGTATACTGTTCTTTTGCTGTGGGCTGATGCAGGGTTCACAGGGGACCAGGAGAGTCTAGATCCATGTCTGCAGCCACCTGGGTCTACCTAACCATAGCCTGTTATGGGGACACAGTGAGGAACACCAGCTTCAGGAAGACTCCGTCCATGACTTCCTAGCACCTCTCTTCATCCACTAAAGCAATGGGGATTAAAATCCCTGGCACGTTACAGGCATGATTAACATTTTATCATTTATATCCCAACCAGGATTATATAACAAATCCCAAATGCCTCTGTCCTGAGTTCCCTTCCATCTCTGTTCATTGCCCTTAGCAAAGGTGGTTTCAAAACCCAGCCCCATGTTACGTGTGTTGGGAATCTGTGAAGTCCCTTGAGCCACTGCCCACGCCTGCTCTGGTTGCTCAGCCCTTTGGCTGCATTTGCCGCCCTCCCCAGCGCCCTAGCAGAGATGCCTGCCATACCTGGTGTATGAATACTTGTTATTGCTCCTGTTGTATAGCAGCTTCACCACAGGCTGTGGGAGAAGATGGAGTAAGGGTTAGGCCAGGAGCCTGGTGTCCCCAGACCAAGGTCCTAAGAGTGCCCAGTACCTTTGTGGAGGATTCGATGAGCCTGTCCTCTTCTCTCAGCGATGTGATGATGGGGATGTTACACACAGGCTGGTAGGAGTCTTTCTTGTCCTGGGTGACACACAGAGCAGAGAGCTGCCTTTAGGATCTTGTACCCCTCCAGGCCTTGCCACAGTCACCCCCTGCCTGGTAAGGAGGTACCAGACGGACCATGATGTTCTTGGTAATAGACATTGCCAGTTAGTAAGATCTCCACTGCCAGAAAATATGAAGCTCGGATATCTAAGTGAATGAACTAGGGGCACAGCCTGCTTGTGCTACCAAATGTGAGTATCTAGCAGCCGTTTGCTCGGGCCTGGGAGCACCCCATTGTTCTATTTGGGTTTGGACTCATCAACCTCATTTCCAATACAGCTTTCCAGGAGCCAAACCTAATGTCCCCAGAGGAACAATTCCCAACCTCATTAGGTCACCCAATTCTTCCCATACCTGCAGGGCAGACTGGCACATGTTCACTAGCCCCTGAATGAGGTAATATTTTGCTTCAGCCATCAATTCCTGGATTTCTTGCCGGTTTTGAGGGAGGGTGATGGTGTCATCTCGGAGGTAATTCAAGATGGTTCCAAAGTGCTTCCCACATCTGTCTATGAGGATCCAGCCTAGGAATTTAGAGGGATCCCATAGGATTACTGTTAGCCTCCAGCTGTGTTTTACTGTTTGCCTTCAGGCAAACGCCACCTGAAGAGAGGCAGCAGGCAGCAGGATGCAAGGAAAGGAGCTCCGTGAGAGAGTGCAGAGCCCAGACCAGGGGTGGCAGAGATTTGGCCTCAGGTCGGTGCTGCTTTTCCCTATCCTGAGTCCAGGAACTCTGTGCCCCCGAGAAGAGAGAGGTCTTCAGGGGTCTGTGCAGGACTGGATGTCTAAGCTTGGGGGAACTCAGGTCAGCCCAGTAATACAGAAACCACCAGTCTCTGCTTACTTTTGCCCACTGCCCAGGCTCTACTGTGTTTATGACGATTTTATTTGGATACCTATACATATCTCAGCCTTTTGGATGGTTTTTTGTTTTTCAAGGCAGGGTTTTTTATGTAGCCCTGGTTGTCCTGGAAAACACTTTGTAGACCAGGCTGGCTTTGAACTCACAGAGATCCACCTTCCTCTGACTCTTTGAGTGCTGGGATTAGAGGTGTGTGCCACCATGACTGGCCCATATGTCACCTTTTGAAACAGTCTTGCTGAATTGTCTGGGTTAGCCTCAGATTTGAGATTGAACTGCCTCAAACTGAGTGTTGGGATTACACGCCTGTGCCGGCATTCCTGGATTGAGATAAAGTTTGTAGCCTAGGCTGGCATCAAAGTCACTATGTAATGGAAGTTGGCTTCAAATTTCTGATCCTCCTGTCCCCACCGCCAAATGCTACGGTTACAGATGTGTGCTGCCACACCCAGCCTGAATATTTTTTAAGTTTGGACTTTTCCTCCGGATGACACATAAACACACAGCATTCTATGTACACTTTCAAGGAATTCTGGAGCCCTATTAAGACTTGTAAGAAGTGAAGTGGAAAAGTTAGATTCTGGGTCTACTGAGCCTTGCCCTGAGGTCGTCGAAGGATGCCCCTTTCTCTCCTCCCTTGCCCAGCATGCCCAGATACAATGCCTCACCTTCTTTGTCGGTCAGCACCTCCATGCGCCCACTGAACATGGCCTTGAGCATAGTGTCATGCCGGGTGAGGGCCCGCACTGTCGTGTAGTACAGGGAGCCGCCCACATTGAGCTGCACGTACTTGTTGCCCAGGCCGCCTCCCTTGAAGCCATTTATCTTGGGCTTGGCCCCCGAGGCTGGGCATAGACAGGTGTCCCCTGACATCTCCCGCTGCAGGTAGATCACCACACGGCAGGCGGTGGGCTTGGAAGGCTCTGCCGTGGTGGAAGTGGTTACGAATGAGTGGCCCACAGAGGCCAGGGACTCATACTCTTCAGTGCTGTAAGCAAAAGGTAGAGAGAACACGGAAGTCAACAGAGTAGAGATCACAAAGGAGGAGGGGACAGCAGTAGGAACTCTGACACAGTTTACCTTCTAGATAAACCCATGTACTCCCCAGCAGAGGCTAAATTCCTGGGTGTGCTGGTTAGTTTTTTTGTCAACATGACACATGCTAAAGTCCTTGGCCTGAAGGAAAGCCTGCAGGAACATTTTCCTAATTAAGGATTGATGGGGGCTGGGCAGTGCCATCCCTGGGCAAGTGGTTCTGGGTGGTATAAGAAAGCAGGCTGGGCAAGCCAGTAAGCAGCATTCCTCTATGGGCTCTGCTTCAGTTCCTATCGTCAGGTTCCTGTCACCAGTTCCTTCCCCGACTTCCCTTAGTGAAGAACTATGACCTGGGATGTGTAAGCCAAATAAACTCTTTTCTCCCCGAGTTGCTTTTGGTCAAAGCTTTTTATCACAGCAATAGAAAGCAAACTAGGATACTGTGTGACAATAAGAATGACCCCCTATGCTGTTCTCACAGTACCAGGAGCCAGGTCTGGGAGCATAAACTCCTCTAGGCTCAGTTCTGCTTTGGGTGGCAAAAAAATCCTTAGAACTAAGAACAGATGAATAGATCACCTTGGGATCCACCACACTGACTCCAGAAAATGTTTTCCCAAGATTCCAGACTTTCCAGACTAACTGACTGGGAACCTAGCCAGCCTAGGAGTTTCCCAGGAACCAGAGGGACAGGATGCATTTCCTGTCTCAGGAGTAGCCTGCTCCAGGACTCAGGTTAGCACCAGCCAAAGGAAGCCTGATCCAGGAAGGAACATGAATGTGGTTTTAAGAGATTGGAGAAGGCCAGCTTTGGAGGCAGCCAGCCAGGGAGCTGGCTGTGTGTGTGTGTGTGTGTGTGTGTGTGTGTGTGTGGGTGGGGAGGGGGGCAGTGAGG